CTCGTGTACGCTAGCGTCGCACCACATATGTTTGTGCCATCAGTGAATTGTGGCATCGTGGTGAAATCAGGTCCTCGTCAAAATATTGAAATAGAAGACACCGACATTTCAGTCGGTTTGGCAATTTTCATCTACTCCTTTTTTCCGCAAAACCTAGTCCATTAAAAACACATTTACGTCTGAATTTTTCTGAAAAATGTTGAGCAAAGGCACAAAAATGTCCATTTGAAATTCTCAAGGACACTCACGTTTGCAAGTCACTTACATGTGGCAGCCATTTTCTCGCTAATTTTCCTTCTGACACCAGGAAACCCGTAATTTCGTCAATGCAAATATCTCGACCTATTTAAGATACAAGCATGTTTTTTCACTATAAGTAATGAAATGGTCAGGCTTTAATATTATACCAACATATCAATATTATGCCCCCAAAAAGGGCACAATAATAATATATTCCCGGCGAGATGTCGCTGCAGTAGTCCAATTATATAGAAGTCTGACGGGGCTGGATGAGGACAGTGAGGTAGGTTGGGTGAAACCTTTCAACCATATAGTATTATTTCTGTTGCTTTTCAATGTCATATTATACATTTGCCTGTATCGTTCTAAGAAAGTAGATCGGACGCCGATGCTCTGTGTCTTGTGGGCATCTACTATCAACTGTTTTTGGAACCCATCGAGCTGATTCTTTTCTGTTTCCCAGCTCATCAAAGATATTTCTGTGAACAGTCGACTTAGAAAGATCTAGAGCATCGGTTAGGTCACGAATTTTAAGACGCCTGTCATCATGAGTTTTCCAATTTTTTCATTATTATTTTTTTAATGGGATTTGTTGGAAAGGGGGGGGGGGGCAATGGCATACAGTACAGCAGATGTCCCTCTTTTTATAAATGCAACAATGTTAGGCCCCTGACTGGATTAAAACCTCCATTTTGAACTCATAAAACGGTTCTAATTTTGTCAGAGTGAGTCATAGTAGAGTGAGTCAGTGTGACAGTGACTCAATCTATCATTCATTCAACGAACGTACACCAGTCAGTCTATATGTACTACGTGAAAAAAAATACCGTAAGTTCACTTTGAATGAAAGATTGACTTTTTGCGTTGTCATGAACACAGTAACGAACATTAATTAATAATGCATTGTATATGAGATGCTCCTTTCCATTACTTGTTCAGAATAAGAACTCCAGTTGCCAATGGACATGTTCGACTGCTTATGTAGTATGGGCAGACTGTGGGACATCACAGATGGACATTTAAAGAAATTAAAGTTGTGTCAAAGTTAATTTCTGCGGTGAACCAAATCAAACACTGGGATTGTAGAACTTCTTTGCTAATTGATAAAAAAGAAATTTGGTCGACAATTCAAAGACTGTAACCAATGGCCATGACTATTTCGGAAAGTATTTCAATAACATTTTTTTCCTGCTTTCTTATATCAGCAACTGTTGAAGGAAATGGCATTGATATGACTGGGTCACAATACGCAAATGGCGCACACTATGCGTCCCGAGTGGTCTGTGCTGTCTCCCGTTGTCTATTATAGGCATTCCATCGTAATCAAGAATAACTCTTGATAGAATCCACCAATTTATTAAAACATTTGACACTAAATAATGGTTTATAGATACGGGGCATACCGATGATGCCGTCCACCCCTCCCCCCAATCGCCCCAATTACTAAGATATTTGCAGATGTTGGACCAAAGTCAAAGGACCAGACTTTCAAGTTTGTTGAATCCGAGTGTTCGATAAAAGACAGGGGAGATTTTACTCCCGCATTTATGTTGTATCGCTGCATTATCCGTTCAAAACGTGTCACGGTACGAATATAATGGGAAAGAACCAATACTACCCCAAAGTTGTTGCTGATATGAGCGGTTCCCTCCTTTGAAACGAACCCTAAGTTTGGCTTGTCAGAGATTAGCTTTTAAAAAATGTAATGTGAACCACACCAGAATTTCGAAGTGTTTCATCAACATGTTGTTGTTGTGGTGGTTGTGGTTGTTGTTGTGGTTGTGGTGGTAAGGGTTGCTGTTGTGGTTGTGGTTGCTGTTGTGGTTGTTGTGGTTGTTGTTGTGGTTGTTGTTGTAGTTGTTGTTGTGGTTGTGGTGGTTGTTGTGGTTGTGGTTCTTGATGTTGTACCTGTGGTTGTTGTGGTTGTGGCGGTTGTGGTTGTGGTTGGGGTTGCTGTTGTTGTGGTTGATGCTTATGGTTGTTGAGGTTGTTGTGGTTGTTGTGGTTTTGGTAAGTGTTTTACGGCGCTCGCAACTGCATAAGGGCATATAAGAGCGCGGAACACCTTTACCATATTTAGTTGATAGGAAATTTTGAATTTTGCCGAAGCCTACCCTTATCGATTTTGAACCCCCAAGGGATCTTTAACGTACGCAACTTGCACACAGGACCTCCGAGATTTTTCGCCCTTGTCCGAGAAAGCTAGGTGAAGATCTTTCCTACCATACGATCTGGAGTGTGGCTGAAAGACAGTGCATGTAGTGAGAAGGAGCCAGGGAGTAGCAGTAGAAAGGCTGCAGAAAGAGTCAGGAGCCCAGAGGAGGGTGCAAAGGAGGTGAGGAAGTGGGGTCAGAAAGTGGAGACGAAAGCAGACAACAGAACATTGCTAGAGAGCAGGAAAGGAGGTGAAATGAGACAATTTTTAGATTGATAAAATTCCGTCGCTATCCGGATTCGAACCCGGGGCCTGTTGAATGAGAGGCCAACACCTTAACCTCTAGGCCACGAGAGCCCCCATCAACATAATATTTAAGTTCAAGTATTCATTATTTCTCCAGTTTAAGTGTTTCTTGGTTTACAGCTGCTCTTATCATCTCCTTTGTTATTTGTCTTTCATTAAAGTTAAAGTTGACAGACATGTCGGTGCAGTGACAATTTTAATTTTTGATTGCCACAAGAACAGGATCAAATAATTCAAAACTTGATAAATTGCACTGAACCAAGAACAACCGTAAGAATTTATTGAGGGGGGTGGGGGTCTAAGAAGAAGTATTACAATACACAGACCATACAAAGTGTCAAACAAGACCTGGTTGAGAAGTATTATAAATTTTTTAATCATTTTGGAAGCGTATTATTTATGGAATAATGCTTGTACTTGCTTCGCTCAATACGTCGAAGACCATAACAGATATTTTTTATTCTTCTTCTAAAGACTAACTGAATTCCAGAAAAAAAAACGAACTGTCATAGAATCTACAGTAAGCGCACTTTATCGATGAAACAGTTTCAATAGTATTCTCAAATCCTATTACAAAGAATTGCTCACAATTCTATGTGATTGGTAATAAATGCCATTGCGCTTGATCGGGAAACTGTTTTCATGTTTGGTCTTGTTATTGGCTTGTCTTGTCTTTTATTTTGTAGGCCTACAGAATATCATGGACTTTTAGACCAGAATAACTTGTTTTAAAAAATTGGATATAAAGTGATACTCCAGTAAACTGTTTGCAAAAGCCGATTTATTGTGTGCCCTTTTCTCTTTGAAATTTTTTTCCTCGTTATTATTTCGTCGTTCGTTCCCGCTGCTGCTGTCACTGCTATAGTTGCAGTTCGACTGTTATTGTTGTCACTGGCAAGAAGAATAACAGAATTTGAAATGAATTTTTTTAAAATGTCTTTAAAAAACATTAAACATCACGAAGAGAGACAGACAAAGAAACGAAGACATCAGACATCAAGTGGGTGCCAAATCGGACATTAAGTACATCTAGAAACAACAATAAGGTCTTTTGGACACGTAATGAGAATGGGGCTACACTACAACAGCCAACTTTTAAGGCCTACAACACGCGATGTGATGGCTTTACGCAAAGGAAAAGCCAAGAAAAAGATGGATAATCCGAGTCAAAGAGACCCTCCTATGAAACAACCTGACGATCCAAACTGCAACATAACTATGAGGCCCACTTCCGACATTGCACCTCCCGTTGACACCTCATGGTATAAGAGGACAAAAAATAAAACGTAATGTAAGACTGTGAGGTTAAGATAAAAATGTCCATACCTTAAACGCATTAAACGTCATTATCGTGTACCAATCTTTTCACAAAACTATAATAATAATAATAATATGTCTTTTGGTGTTTATCATGTACCAAATTAATAAAAATTGAACCTGGCTTTCATGACTTGATTTACGAGCATGTTTACTACACCCGCCCCCACCCTCCTACATACACACACACACACACACACACACACACACACATACACACACACACACACACACACACACACATACACACACACACACACACAATATACAAAGGGGTGGGGTGACTCTTTGGACATTGTTTGAAGTCCAATGGTGGGAATGAGAGTTACTATGAAAAGTTTTTGAGACACTCTGTTAAGACTGTACACATTTTTAATCATCTCTCTGGAAAAAAACTCTCTGAGTGTTTCGATAAACTGTTCAAGGATGTTATGGAGAACAATCTGAGCATGCCAGAAACAAGGCATTAACAAGATTCGGCCTGAAAAGGCTGCCTTTCTGGATTATAATTCAAAAGTGATGACCTTCCAGGGGAACATAAGTAACGTGACTTTGTTAATATTGAGCTTTGGCTCTTCGCTGTTAACATGGAAACCCTTGACATCCATTAATGTTTCTATTCTCATTAAAGTCCCCAGTGCGTTTGAATTTCATCTTCATAAGATCAAATAAAGTGCACCATTTAAAGCTCTTTTTAGAAAGAAAATTCTGATTCACTGTTTTTAATCTGCAGACTTTGTATCCTTCAGTTGTTTTGATTTGGTTGTTGTGTACCCCTCCCCCCTCAACCAGAACACTGTAACTACCATATTATCATTTAATTTGAGATAGTGGATCTCCGATTTTTCGTCTCTCTCCGAAGATGAATATAACAGAGAGCCATGAACTCCCAAGCAGCCCAAGTTCAAGAACAGTTACAGAATTATTATCTAGGTTCGAGCCAGAGTTTAATTGCTCGGATAGAAATGGCGATAATAGCTTAGCCAGTGGAGCACCTTCATGAGTGATATGCTTTTACCACACCCAAGGATTGACAGACTCGGAAACAAAGCTGCACAAAAAATATAATGAACTTTTAATCTCCCTTTGTCGCAAAAAAGCTCGTTATTAGGGACCCTTGTGAGCTCTGCTTTACAATGATAACCGTATAAACGTACATAAAAGTTTATCAATGACTGTTAACGTAGATACGATCATTTAAAAAATAAACACTAATTATACATATTTTGACTTTGACGTAATGTTACAGCTGTTGACTCTTTCTAATCCCTCTCTTTCTCTCTCTTTTCTCTTCTCCCCCCC